GTGGTATGGGAAGAACGTTCTTCTGTCATGTTATCAATAGCCATCCATTTGTTAGTTGATGGATCATATAATTCACAACTGGCCAAAAAGTCAGCATCTCCTACACCTCCGGTGGCAAGAACTTTACCAGAATTAAGTAGAATTGAAGTATGACGCGAACGTGGTGTTACCATACTTCCAACAGTATCCCATTCGTCAGTTGTTGGATCATATATGTCAGTAGTGCCTGAATACTTTGCTAGTTCGATACCAGCAATAACAAGAACTTTGTTTGACTTGAGTGTCGTTGCAGTAGTACTATAACGTGCTTTTGGTCCCATACTTTTCAATGTGCTCCATTGTTTTGTTGTTGGATCATATATTTGAGAGCTATCTGCATCACTGGTGATAAGTACTTTACCTGAACTGAGTAAAGTGGCTGTGTGATCAGAACGTGCTCCTGTCATATTTGCAGTCGGAGTCCATTTATCAGCTACTGGATCATATATTTCACAACTTGCTAAAGCACCATTGTTATAAGTACTACCACCAGTAACAAGAACTTGTCCTGATTTGAGTAACGTGGCAGTATGAAAACCACGAGGTATCGTCATACTTGCAGCACCGTGCCATTGCCCAGTTGAGGCATCGTATATTTCACATGAAGCCGTGTAACCAGTATATCCTCCACTGCCACAAACAAGAACATTTCCAGAGTTGAGTAAAGTTGCAGTATGAAATAACCGGAATCTTGACATACTTCCACTAATAGTCCATTGATTCGTTAATGGATCGTACAGCTCACTAATAACTAAGTCATTAGTTGGTTTGTGATCGTTTGTAGTTTGGCGTGCTCCACCGCCATTCAACACTCTGAAATGAAAAATGAAGCCATCTTTATCGCTGAAAAATGTCGTCTTTTACTTACATCCATATAGACAAAGAGTAAAAAAGCAAATAATTCATTTCAAGTCAAACTGAAATTGATTTAATCAGAACAGAAAATATTTAAACCTGTTTAAGAATGACATATGCAAGAAGTATATGTCATCTGTTCGTTTTCTCATCTTGATGACATGGTTTTTTTCGATCAATAAAACATAAAAAATTTGAAATAATTGTGATATTATTAAGAGTAAAGGTAGGTCATCGTAGAACTAAAGCAATATCATTATTAGATGGCAGTTTTTTTTCTACAACGATTGTGAAGCATTCTTATCGTATATTCTTAAACTCAAGATTTGGATTTTCTTGTGAAAGGGTCGTGTTTTTCGAACAAACGGTAATATTTGACTTTAGTTTTACTGATGAAATCAAGAAATTACAAAAAGAAGAATCTCATTTGAAAAATTCAATCAATGTTGAGCTTGAGCGAGACATAGTTAACATCGAGCAAATCGAGGCTGATCAAGACAAATTACACACGGTTTGGAATTGACTACTTGCTCAGTTATGACTTTAAGTTGCGAGATGAACATTTTGATGATGACGTGAATATTAATATAGTATTTCTTGAATAAAAGAATACAAAAATCAACAGTATTCTTACGGAATTTGAATTTTTATCAGATCTGCGAGACACAGTATTGATTACTGAATCAGTTAACATCAAATCAAAATGATATTTTTTTCGATCTTTTACTATTTGCTGATCGCTGAGGCTGTGTGAGTATATACCTTAAGAAATGTTCAAAACATCGAATATAAGGCGTAAGATATGCGCAATTCACTTGTGTTAGCTTATTATATTTCTTTTTTATGAGAAGAACAAAAGGAATAATATTGACGGTGAAGCATTCGTTATAATTGAACTCCAAATAGAATATGGTAAAAGAAGGACAACTTCAACGGCTATATCACATAAATTACGTCATTTCTTATGTTATGATATAGCAAATTTGATACAATGATGATTACTTGTTTCATTGACACTATCTATTCTTTTATATGCAACATATTATCGTTTCAATTGGATTCTTTCCTCTTCTTATTAGTCGCACTGGACGAAGAATGTAGTCGAATAAATATCGCATCTGAAAGCACTAGACTATGTCTCTTTATTTGCTATAATAACTAAGAGAAACAATAACCTATCAAGTACATTAATATCATAGAAAGTGGTGTATTAACAACTTCATCCTTCCTATTTTTCGTTCCATATCTGTTTGGAAATAGAATGAGATAATGCTTCTGTATTTATGAAATGAATTTACAAAGAAAACCGGTAAATAAATAAAAGATTTCACAGAGTAGAGACAAAGATCATTAATTAAGAAATAAGTAGAACAGTTTCTGCAAGTGGTGCAATTGTCTTCACAGCACCTGATGTTCTACCTTGAACATATTGAATATGAAAAAACTCTCGCATTTTTCTTGTCGTCGATTGACATCGAAAAATGACAGTGAGTAATCGACTAAAACGTTTACAAGCTTGAAGTTCACCGAATTTAATCAACAAATAATTCCACAGTAATTCTGTATAGTGCGTTTGAGCACGATAAACGGCTATTGAATCTTTTAATAATGGTTCATAATCATTAAATAATGAACCGTGAGAATAAATAAAAATTATCGAAATAAATGATAATAAAACTGGATCTTGTTCAGTAACATTTACCAANTCGTATATTTCACATGAAGCCGTGTAACCAGTATATCCTCCACTGCCACAAACAAGAACATTTCCAGAGTTGAGTAAAGTTGCAGTATGAAATAACCGGAATCTTGACATACTTCCACTAACAGTCCATCGATTCGTTAATGGATCGTACAGCTCACTAATAACTAAGTCATTAGTTGGTTTGTGATCGTTTGTAGTTTGGCGTGCTCCACCGCCATTCAACACTCTGAAATGAAAAATAAAGTAATCTTTATCGCTAAAAATTGCCGTCTTTTACTTACATACATATGGATAAAGAATAAAAAAGCAAATAATTCATTTCAAGTCAAATTGAAATTGATTTAATCAGAACAGAAAATATTTAAACCTGTTTAAGAATGACATGTGCAAGAAGTATATGTCATCTGTTCATTTTCTCATCTTGATGACATGGTTTTTTCTCGATTAGTAAAACATCAAAATTTGAAATAATTGTGATATTAGTAAGAGTAAAGGTGGGTCATCGTAGAACTAAAGCAATGTCATTATTAGATGACAGTTTTTTTCTACAACGATTGTGAAGCATTCTTATCGTATATTCTTAAACTATCAAGATTTGGATTTTCTTGTGAAAGGGTCGTGTTTTTCGAACAAACGGTAATATTTGACTATAGTTTTACTGATGAAATCAAGAAATTACCAAAAGAAGAATCTCATTTGAAAACTTTAATCAATATTGAGCGACTGGTGCAGGTACATGTGTTGGCACCAGTACCTTTCCTTGCCTTTGTGAATATTTCCTTACAATTAATATATCTTGGCTCGGGAGTTCTTTGTTGAGCTTGAGCGAGACATGGTTAACATCGAGCAAGTCGAGGCTGACCAAGACGAATTACACACGGTTTGGAATTAACTATTTGCTCAGCTATGATTTCAAGTTATGAGACGAACGTTTTGATAGAATATGGTAAAAGAAGGACAACTTCAACGGCTATATCACATAAGTTACGTCATTTCTTATATTATGATACAGCAAATTTAATACAATGATGATTACTTGTTTCATTGACACCTATCTATTCTTTTATATGCAACATATTATCGTTTCAATTGGATTCTTTCCTCTTGTTATTAGTTGCACTGGACGAAGAATGTAGTCGAATAAACATCGCATCTGAAAGCACTAGACTATGTCTCTTTATTTGCTATAATAACTAAGAGGAACAGTAGCCTATCAAGCACATTAATATCATAGAAAGTGGTATATTAACAACTTCATCCTTCCTATTTTTTGTTACTTATCTGTTTGGAAATAGAATGCGATAATGCTTTATGTATTTATGAAATGAATTTACAAAGAAAGCCGGTAAATAAATAAAAGATTTCACAGAGTAGAGACAAAGATCATTAATTAAGGAATAAGTAGAACAGTTTCTGTAAGTGGTGCAATTGTCTTCACAGCACCTGATGTTCTATCTTGAACGTATTGAATATGAAAAAACTCTCGCATTCTTCTTGTCGTCGATTGACATCGAAAAATTACAGTGAGTAATCGACTAAAACGTTTACAAGCTTGAAGTTCACCGAATTTAATCAACAAATAATTCCACAGTAATTCTGTATAGTGCGTTTGAGCACGATAAACGGCTATTGAATCTTTTAATAATGGTTCATAATCATTAAATAATGAACCGTGAGAATAAATAAAAATTATCGAAATAAATGATAATAAAACTGGATCTTGTTCAGTAACATTTACCAATGAATATATTAGATCAGCAAATTCATCACGAAAATTATTTTCTGCGCCGCATAACGTAAAGAATCGACGTTGTTTTTCGACTTCTTTGCAGTTTTGACGTGCACAACAATCATTCGATGGTCGATAATTGATACATTTCGAAAGTATAAATAAGGGAAAAATATTAAATTTAATTAGAAGAAAGCGATCATCACCATTCAAACATTTGAATTCATCAGTTTGACGAAAGAAATTAATGAAAGATAAAAAGATTTCATGCAAAAAATATGACCATGATGTTAAAGCACAAGCACGATTTGATACATCAATACGCATACAACGTGTAATTGTATCATTTCGAAACATCGATAAAAATAACGACCGAACATTTTCAATAGTCACATGTTCTGCAATGGACAACGTTTTCATTAATATATTCGGTTGAAAATGCACACTTTCGTCGTTATTATTCATCTCTATTAATGACTAAAACATCAAGCACTTTCTACATCTTTAGTATGAAAGATCAAAAACAACAAACTTACATTATCAATTCTATTCGAAGTTTTTAACACAGTTTCTGAAATAGAGACATGTTGTGATGTAGATGATGAATGTTTTGTAGTTTTAACTCGATTTTGATCAAGACGTTGTTTTCTTCGTTGTGTTTTTTCTTTACTATAGAGAAAATCCTTTTTCATTCCCATTGCTAAACATTGATCCAATCGACATCGTGGACAATTACGACGCAGTTTATATGTAACTAAACATTGACCTTGTCCTGTCAAACATTTTAATTTTTTCTAAAAATAATTGAAATTAATATAAAAGTGAAGATAAAAAAGAAATAAACCAACTAAATCTTGATGGGCATGACGATAGAAAAAAATTTTACAAGAACCACATGAAAGAACATCATAATTAAACCCAGTGGCTTGAGCTCCGCAAATTGTGCAAATTAAATCATCGGATCTTTTTGATAGTTTATGTTTAACTGTAGTTGGTGTCCGTTGACATTCTTCATCATTGTTGTTTGAATTCTACAAATAAATATGAATTAGTTATTTGAATCGATTTTTTTATTAAAATTAAATACGAACAAATTGAGTTAATTGTTTCAGAAAAGATAAATCAATATCATTAGCATTTGTTTTTGTATGGACTTGTTGACAATTATTCAAATCAATAATAATTGTGTTTGGAAGAGTATTCGAAGAAAACTGTCGAATAATATCTGTATTTGTTGTAATCATAATTAGTTTTGTTTGAGCAGCCATAAATTTCGTTTTTCGCTGTTTTTATCAGCAAGTTAAATAAATGTGAATGTAAATACGTGGAATGTACTCGCTTTTCTTCATACAAAAGTGAAGAAAACAAAATTACTGTTGTCGTATGGAGAGAAATCTTTTCTTTTCTATGTATCATGCCATGTGCTGTCTTGTTTACTTTACAAAACAAGTTTCAATTCATAACCATAGAGTTTTATGTGAAGAATAAGTTCTGTACCCATATCGTTTAACTTTCTTATAAATTTAAAAATACGAACAATTACGGAATTTTACATTTGTTTCACTTCGTTACCAAAATCCATGACCAATTAGCATTGCAATTGTGAAGATTATCGACAACAGATACTAAGACAAAAAAAAGGGCCTTAAAAGAATCAACCACATATATATACGTACAAAGAAAGTGACTAAACAGTTTAGATTTAAAATATCGAAAAAAAGAACATCAGCCGATACAAATAAAGCAAGTTCATCAGTACATGCTTAGTTTTATCGATGGAAGTTCATGTAATAAAATGATTTGAGAGATCTTCTCACTTCCGATAGTCCCTGTAGCGAAGGATGAAAAGCAAAAAGGTCAACATCATTTTCTATTCAACACAATTTGATAATCTAATTCATTTAATAATAAAACATGAAACTTCTTACGTACGTTATCGACGACAAAACTAAATATGTATATGACATTAAAAGGAGAGGAGAGACGAGAAAGAAATTATACTGAAGGTTGATGTCGTTTTTTAGCGACACATCCTAATCGAGTGACTCATTCAGCAAAACAGGTTAAAATTGTCGTTTTTTTTCAGTATTGTACGAAAATACATTGGTAAAGGTTGTACGAAAGTACAATGCCTGTGCTATTTTTCTTATAGAAATATTATTGTGAAATTCGTGTTTTTGCACGTTCTTTCATTGTACAACAGTACACCCTTCTTTGATACTCTGATTTTTCTGTACTCGCTCTAAGGTAAAACAACTCATGATCAAAATCCATTAATAAGATTCAAATGTGAAAATTCTCAAAATAAACTCGCATATATAAAGAAGAAGAAAAAGACGGTTCAGCATTCATTTCAATTACACATAGAGAAGAAACAACAGCTATATACGTTCACCCAATGGAACGGACCTGGTGTCTTTTTCTCGTAGTGTTATTTTCATTATTTGATGTAATCGACGTAGTACATTTTCGTGGTGGTATTATTTCATGGTTCGAATGCTTGAATACTGCATGTCTTTTTGATTCTTTACATCTGCTCTTCTTTCTCATAGGCGACCGCTAAATGCTACACCATCAGGTAGTTCTGCAAGCATCCTTATACATCAAAGGTATTTTTGGAGTCGCAGATGGGGCGGTTTTAGTCCACCTTACTGCACAGAAGCAGATGTTGCTGCTCAAAGTCTAATTCCAGTCTATTCTACCATGTCGTGTCTAGCAAACTGTTCAAGTTCGACATTCTCTGGTCTCTCAACTGTTATGATAACTACAGATTGTCAACCAAATCTCATAATAGACTCATGGGCTGGTGAACATTATGATAATGTAATTTTACCATGGATCNATTCTATTCGAAGTTTTTAACACAGTTTCTGAAATAGAGACATGTTGTGATGTAGATGATGAATGTTTTGTAGTTTTAACTCGATTTTGATCAAGACGTTGTTTTCTTCGTTGTGTTTTTTCTTTACTATAGAGAAAATCCTTTTTCATTCCCATTGCTAAACATTGATCCAATCGACATCGTGGACAATTACGACGCAGTTTATATGTAACTAAACATTGGCCTTGTCCTGTCAAACATTTCAATTTTTTCTAAAACTAATTGAAATTAATATAAAAGCAAAGATAAAGGAAAAATAAACCAACTAAATCTCGATGGGCATGACGATAGAAAAAAATTTTACAGGAACCACATGAAAGAACATCATAATTAAATCCAGTGGCTTGAGCTCCACAAATTGTACAAATTAAATCATCTGATTTTTTTGATAGTTTATGTTTAACTACAGTTGGTATCCGTTGACATTCTTCATCATTGTTGTTTGAATTCTACAAATAAATATTAATTATTCATTTCAATCGATTTTTTATTAAAATTAAATACGAACAAATTGAGTTAATTGTTCCAGAAAAGATAAATCAATATCATTAGCATTTGTTTTTGAACGGACTTGTTGACAATTATTCAAATCAATAATAATTGTGTTTGGAACCGTATTCGAAGAAAACTGTCGAATAACATCGGCATTTGTTGTAATCATAATTAGTTTTGTTTGAGCAGCCATAAATTTCGTTTTTTGCTGTGTTTATCACCAAGTAAAATAAATGTGAATGTAAATACGTGGAATGTACTCGCTTTTCTTCATACAAAAGTGAAGAAAATAAAATTACTATTCTCGCATGGAGAGAAATCGTTTCGTTTCTATGTGTCATGCCATGTGCTGTCTTATTTACTTTACAAAACAAGTTTTCATAGAGTTTTATGTGAAAATTTAGTTATGTATCCACATCGTTTTACTTCGTTACGAAAATCCATGACCAATCAGCATTGCAATTGTGCAGATTATCGACAACAGATACTAAGACAAAAAAGGGCCTTAAAAGAATCAACCACATATATACACGTACAAAGAAAGTGACTAAACAGTTTAGATTTAAAAAATCGAAAAATAGGACATCGGCCGGTACAAATAAAGCAAAAGGGTCAGCATCATTTTCTATTCAATACTATTTGATAATCTAATTAATTTAAGAATAAAACATGAAACTTCTTATGTACGTTATCGACAAGAAAACTAAATATGTATATGATATTAAAACGAGAGGAGAGACGAGAAAGAAATTATGTTGAAAGTTGATGTCGTTTTTTAGCGACACATCCTAATCGATTGATTCATTCACCAAAACAGGTTAAAATTGTTTTTTTTCGGCATTGTACGAAAATACATTGGTAAAGGTTGTACGAAAGTACAATGCCTGTGCTATTTTTTCTTATAGAAATATTATTGTGAAATTCGTGTTTTTGCACGTTCTTTCATTGTACGACAGTACACCCTTCTTTGATACTCTGATTTTTCTGTACTCGCTCCAAGGTAAAAGAACTCATGATCAAAATCCATGAATAAGATTCAAATGTGAAAAATCTCAAAATAAACTTACATATATAAATAAGATGAAAAAGACGGTTCAGCATTCATTTCAATTATACATAGAGAAGGAACAGCAGCTATACGTTCACTCAATGGAACGGGCCTTGTGTCTTTTTCTCGTAGTGTTATTTTCATTATTTGATGTAATCGACGTAGTGCATTTTCGTGGTGGTATTATTTCATGGTTCGAATGCTCAAATATTGCATATCTTTTTGATTCTTTACATGTGCTCTTCTTTCTCATAGGCGACCACTAAATGCTACACCATCAGGTAGCTCTGCAAACATCCTTATACATCAAAGGTACTTTTGGAGTCGCAGATGGGGCGGTTTTAGTCCACCTTACTGCACAGAAGCAGATGTTGCTGCTCAAAGTCTAATTCCAGTTTATTCTACGATGTCGTGTCTAGCAAACTGTTCAAGTTCGACATTTTCTGGTCTCTCAACTGTTATGATAACTACAGATTGTCAACCAAATCTCATAATAGACTCATGGGCTGGTGAACATTATGATAATGTAATTTTACCATTGACAACATCAATTACAATGGGTTTTCAATCGAGTGCATGGATGAGCACTCTTTACAAAGGCTATAATGGCGCGTGGTCAATTGTTAATCGATTAAATTTAGGCTTAAGACCTGATGGTTATATCAATACAAGTCCTGTTACAAATACATTACCAGTCGTATTTTATCCAATTAATACACCAGTTGTTCATGTTGTACAAATGGCCGACAATGATGGTACTGACATATTAAAATGTCGTTGGTCTAATGTAAATTCAGGAACAAATTATAATCGAGCTGATGAATGTGCAGATGTTTGTTTTGGATTGCCACCTGGATATCAATTGAGTCCATCTAATTGCACAATATCTTTTTCTCTAACAAGTGCTAACCTATATTATGCATGCGCTTTGCAAATCGAAGATTATTACAACAGTGCTGCCACAAATCCAATGAGTTCTGTTCCAATACAGTTCTTATTCTATGGATATATAACTGCATCTGGTGCTTGTCCAAAACGTCCTTCAATCACTGGTGTTCGTCCAAATAGAGGTACGAATATATATTTATTTTCTTTGTGGCAAACTGAAATATTTTTATATTTATAAAAATTTTCGCTTCAGCTTGTATTGGAGTTCCGTACAGTAAGTGAAAATGATAACAGCTTTACTTTTTATAATATTTCTAATTTATCTTTCAGATGTTCAATTGAACGAAACTATAATTGTAGAAACATATTGTCCTTACCAAGCGATTGTTGATTTTGTTACTAGCTCACCAATTGGCATGACACATAGTGCTATCAGTCATCCAAGTGCTTGTAAGTCATTGATATAATTGCTAGTAAGAATGAGAAAAACTTTTGAACTTGAAATCAAACTTGTAGATACATGGATAATGACATTGACATGGACACCTATAGCAGCACAGGCAGGTCCTCAAACTTTTTGCGCTGCTGCTATTGATAATAGCAGTCTACAATCAGATCCATGGTGTATTACATATCTAGTGAATTATGAATCACCAGAATTAATTCGTCCTAAAGTAGTACAAGGATCGGCAAGTCCAATAGGTACTGTCTTTTCAAATCAATCGATGTTTTCAATACAAGGTAGTTCATTTTTAAGTATGTGTACATCTCGTCATCTTCTTTTTTGTTTTAATCATACAGCAAACAGTTTAGTCGGCCGTCCAACTCGTAATGGAACAAATATTTGTTTTCGAGAAGCAGCTACAAACGTATCCGCTGTATGTTATGATGCTGGTTATGCATCAAATGTAGTTTATACTGGATATACAATTGTCATTACTACAAATTATACGTGGTCAAAAGGTTCATTCTATTATATAACAATGGATAGTGGATTTGCAAGTGGAAGTGAATTCTGTCGTAGGTTTTATTTCTTTGATGAGACTGAAATATCAATTTTTTTTTGTTATCTACATTGATCTAATTTTAAAGATGCTGAATCAGCACCTATCAGTGATCCGACATATTGGACATTTAATATTTGGGATCCTGCTGTTTCAAGTACAACTACAACAACAACGACTCCATTTACAACAGTTACAGTTACCACGAGATTAACATCAACTACTAGTATCAATACTCTTGTAAATTCATTTTAATATCTCATTTATATATAAAAATATTGTATTATAATTGTTGATAGTTAACAACAACTGGTATTGTAATAACCACAACAGTAAATCCTACGATCACGACGTTAACAACTTCAAGTAGTGGACTTATAACTACAGCTTGTAAGACGAATTTTTCAATGTTATTTTTATAATGATGTGTTAATTATTAAGAAGTTAAAATGGATTCTAATCTTTTTTTTTCATCTTCTAGATCCAACAACAGTGAATCCAACAACATCACAAGCAACAACTGAATCCACAGTAGCTGTCTTCACTGCAAAAGATTTTGTAAGCTATTCCTTATCGTATATGATGAATGGTTTAAACGCATTTCAATATATATCTATGATAGGAAGAAGTATGTAAACAACCGATAGCAATGATGACTTCTATTATCTTCATTGTCATGCTGCCCATTCAAACTTTGGTAATGTATGGTGCATTCATAAAGTTTTCAAATATGTTCAACCCAGTCCACATCAGTGCAAAAAGGAGACACAAACAACGAATGAAACATATTCTTTGGTCATAAACGATCGAACATTTCTACTTTTTTCACATATTTTGACACTTGTCTGCTTCATTCGATTTATCTCAAAAATAAGATTAATTTCGCTCAAACAATATCGTCTAATCAAAATCTAGCTGGATTGAATTGGCAGTTAGAGCAGTAAATTACATCTATAGCAGAAAATCAATCATAATACGATAATGTCAAGAGAAAGTAATAATACTTTTAAAAAGTATAAATATATATATGCTAGGTTTTAAGTTAAGTATTTAAACAGACCCATTCTCTCTTTCAAACTGTATTAATGGTGGTCACAAAAACAAAATAAATTAATTTGTCTCGTGACACAGAAGTATATAAGAGTCTAATTTATTTTCGACCACTTCCCAAACTGCTTCTTGCTCCAATGGTCCCATTGTTCTATCCGTCGTATGATAACGACACGACTTTGCAATGTTAAAAGTAGTACTATTGAATCCAAGTTGACCATCAATTTTAAGAGTAAGGGTATTAGGGCATTGATATGATTAGCGATGTAAGTGACTGCAGTTATGAATACCTGCTGAATTAAATACTACCAGAAACTCTTGTTAGAGAGAATGTTAGTTTAACTGTTTTAAAACGCTTTTCTGCCATTTTTAGAGGGATTTTGAAAAAGGCTTTTTGACACTCTCAAAAGCGGTTCAAAAGGGTATATTGTCCGTTGTACTTCCAAAAACCCACTAAGAGTTCTGCATTATAGTATTATCTTTTTACAGCGTAGCGTCGCCAAACTTTCCACAGTACTTCTCTAGATCTAGAAAAGGTCATGGGAGAGTACTTGTAACAGAAGAAGGGAGAGTAGAGAGAGACGATTCGGGTCAATTTCATCCACACCTACACCCTCACATTAAGTAATACATGAACCAGTTTTGCGTCATATATAGCAATATTTGATTTATTAAGAGTTTTACAACACAAGAAGTTTGATTTCTTTGTCAATATTCTTCGCCGAAAATACATTGCTGAGTGGTTTGCTGTTGGAAATTATGACGAACAATTTCTTCACAAATGTCTATCCAAAGTTTCTACTTCAAAAGCTTACTAACCAAGATGCTCACTCTTTAGAGTAGAGTTTCCGAGAAGAAAATAGATACCAATGATAATAAAGTAGATATATTACTGATGTTCATACAATAATATTTTAATAAATCGTCATAAATATAAAATTCGTGTAAAAAAAGTACGATATAGAAATAGAGAAGAAATCCGAAATGGTTATGAAAAAAAGATTTTAGTATGATTTTTTACACGTCCGTATAGAGTTATTTAAAAATATTTATGAACGATGATCATAATAAATCCGATGATCGAGGTAGTAGATGATATCTTTAAACCATTACCATTGCCACAGGGAGTATATCGACACTGTCTGCAATGCAAATTCAATCGGAGATGTACGAATGCTGAATTCTTTCAAAAGAAACTTACCCCCATGCATTAGAAGCACAGGCAGGAAAAGTATTATGACAGGCAACGGCACAAATTGTACCATTACAAACTGTTGTCGGTGCCCCGACAGTCCCGCAACCAGCATACGTATTGATGGTCGGACAGTAACAATTACACAAGAAATCACAAACTACCACGCAGAATACTGAGACAAAAACAAGAACAATTGGGATTGTGTTTGTCATATTGCCGAATACGCTTGCAGATAAAGAACAGAAATAAAGTTTTCTCTCCTTCGTACCCTTCTCCTTATATACTATTTGAAAAGGCGCTATCTTTATGGACGCTTATCTTCTTCCCTTGGAAAAATAAAAATCTTTCTGCGAATATCGTCGTGAATATGATTTATTCACCAAATTCTACTAGTTTCAATTTCGGTTTTCCTACGCATCCAGAACGCATGATCTCTGCTGTTTGTACCGTTTTACCTTCACTCGTTTATTATTCCTAATCCAAAACTTGTTGATTGCTAAACCGGACATTGTTTTATACATTCTAAAAAGCGGTGTACTTCCGAACTCTTACAAAAGGTTCCACCATGATGGAAAAGTCTCCAGAGATGTTCAACAAAATCATTAAAGAATCGTTCCGTGTGGCGAAATAAAAAAAACATTTTTTACCATAGGTTTCTTAGATTTTGCTAAGCGTTAGACACGTTTAAAGCCTTTTTTGTTATGGCAGAATCTCTTTTGGTGGTTTAGTAAAGCACCAATATTTCTTTAGGGTTTACAGTTTCTGGGCAATGTATAACCGTTTCTCTTTTTTTGCGACTTTTGTAAACAATGCTAGTTTTGTACGTCTAACGTCATTGATGACAGAGGCATTGTTCGTTGCGGTGACGCTTTTTCACATGAGACTACTAACTACTTGTCTTTTTCCCCGATTTTGAACTAAAGTCGTGTCTTTTTTCCAGTTACTGAGAGATCAAAATTTGATAGTATATGATACTTCTGATAATATCATCCTTTTCAAGCAGTTGACGAGCAACACACTCTTATCTCAAGTATAGAAAATTGTCATAAAAGCTGAAGATAACTTTTTATGATTAAAATATCGTAGAAGAATGAGAAAAATAGTTTCATTTTCTATTTTACTCTTCACGAAAAATATTTTATTCTTCATTGTTTTTATTAGCTTCCTTGCATAAATACAGTTGCTCTATTCAACATTGAGTCTTTATTACTGTAGCCAATACATTCGACCAGCGAAATAATGAAATCGATCTCCGTTTGCTCTGTGTTGTTTTTCATTATCATTGTTCACAATACTCAGGCAAAATGTGAGAATAGTATTTGAAAAAAAATACATAACGTTTGTTAATTTAGGGCAACGAACGTATAATGATATTGTACCTGCGGAAAAAGGTGCTTACGATCGAACAGGTAGTCAACATCAGTGTGTTAACATTTAGTTGATCTTAATTATGCTTGAACTTACATAGATCGATTGGTTCTGAGTGACATTGTGGCAGTGGAGTCAAGTGCTCGAAATCAACTCAACGCACAGAGTGAGAATGCTATAACATTTATTTTGCTTTGTGTCATTGCATTTTTCAGATCGTTTAATCGTTGGGGAAATTGTAGCTGCAAAACTAAATGACCAGAACGAAGGCGATCAACAAAGTAAATTAATTACCATACTAATGATCTTTTCTATCCCTAAGCCACCACAGGTCAGTGGATTCTTCATAACGTTGTAGCTGCTCATTTAAATCACGAAAGTCAATTCAATGGAGAGCGTAAGTCTGACCTGCATATTATAGACACAAGAAATCTTTTTATATGTTTCATATTTTTGCAGGCAAAGTGAAGCTATATGATATAGCAGCAAATTGAAAAGTGAATAAACATGGGACAACTTACATATGTACTTTTCCACATAGTCACGAAAGATTTTTCTATTCTTTTTACGCAAACATACTGCTACTGTTTCTTATTATAAGAATAACCTGAACAACGCTTAATTTAAATATTATCTGACGATAATTTTCTTTTTTTCACAAAAAGCCTGGTTAATTCGTTTTTACGTCCATGCAGAAGAGAAATAAAAGGTTTCATCACGTAGTATCATAATACTTACATGATCCGCAGCCGTATATCCAGAGTTATATCATTTTTGTGTGCTCTAAAAGTCAGTATACACTACAAGAATCGGTTTGTATGTTTGTACGCCCGTCCGTTTGCCCGATAAGTTTCGATCGAACAAACAGATCGAGCTGAAACTTTCTACACAGCATCATCTCATGAATATCTTAGTCGAGTTCGACAGTATGAGCCCGATCGGACGTAAGATACCTTCGAGCAGGATTCGATATTTTCTTGAGCCGATTCGTTTCAGCGTAGATTCCAATCGAGGCAAAGCTGGTTCCAAGTACAACTTGATGAGCTCTATCGGTTCAAAAAATAAAATTTTCAAAAAAGTCTTTTCTTCACCCTCGAAATCTATAAAAAAAAACAAAACTAGAGAAAAACCGGGAGCCGATTCGTTTTACAACCACCGATCGCGATCTCAACACCGGTTCCAGGTGAAACTCGACGAGCCCAATCGGTTACAATAATAAACACTTTTCACCCCACTCACACCCTCACCCTCACCCACACCCTCAAGATGGTGGGTGAGGGTGGGTGAAAATTTTTTTATGATTGGAATCGACAGAGCTCATCGAGCTACATCTGGAACAGGTATTGGAAAGATAGATGGAAGTGAAGAAAGGAATCCGTGCTTGCTTTTTTTAAATTTTCATGTTTTTAAGGTTTTTTTGCGATTTTTTGCATTTTTTATGGGTAAGGAGAGATTTTTCGAGGAATATATTTTTTTTGAATAAATAGAGTTCACCGAGTTCTACTTGGAACGAATATGATCAGAGTTGGAATACACTTGTGGGCGAATCCGTGTTCAAGATATCTTACATAGTTCGAACGCGCTCTCATGCGAATCGACTTAAGATATGCTTCGTGAGCTGGCTTTACATGTTGCTTGATTCTATCATATCAATGATTGGTTGTATAAACGCAATATTTTCCGATTTATAAGGCAAAAAACATGGTAATTGCAGTTTTTCTGCATCTTTTCCTTCTTTATATTGTTTATAGATCCAATGAAGTGCAACATCAGGCGTAAAATCTTTCAAACATTGTGCCATTTCATAATATGCTTCAGGAATTTTTCGATGATCTTTTGGAGCAATCGCAATAAATTTTTGATAGGCTACAATTGCCTCTTTCATATCTTTACCAATATGACGCAATAGAACAGCTTTATGATATAGAAGCTCATAGTTATCAGGCTCGATTTCAAATCCCTTGTTTATGCTAAACAAACCATCATCAGATTTACGTTGAAATCCATTTACTGCGCCACTAATTAACAGGAAATGGACTGATTGGGGATACTTTTGTTTACATATTTCAAGAAACTATTCAATTAATCCATACGAATTTAAATTCAGTGCTGCATAACATAGTCGAATGTTTTCATCAAGTTGTGAAACAACCGACATCGGCTGCTGTATGCATCGAGCTAATACTCGTTCAATGATGCCACTAACTCTTTTATGAAAAACAACTGGAATTTGAGCTACAATGGTTTCAATACGATAACATTGAGACAGTTCATGAACAAATGTATTTTCTTGTTCTTCTGTCAAAATTTCAAAAGATGTCAATATGTCTAACGCCGTGCGAAGTGTTTTAGCAGTTAGTGAACCACGTCGAGCATGTTCACAAAACATGCCATAATCTCTTAAATAGAAGCGCTCAGATGCTACTGATGCTGAATATTTACTCTGACATAGTAAATAATAGTTCGTTCCTTCACTTATTGCTTGTTGAAAATCCAATGAATAACACTGTTGTTCTTCCAACTTTTTCATAAATTCATCGCGATTTCGTTGAGCAACAACATTATCTGATTCACATGCACGATCGTACCATAGTTCCGCCATTTGAAAATCATTTTTACCTAATCGAAGTTCTGCGAAAGTCATCATGGCGCAACTGGATCACCTCGTTTTGCTGCTAATTCATATAATTCTTCAGCTTTTTCAAGATTATTATCAACCGCAAGACCACCTGAGTGCATTGAACCTAACTGATTAGCAGCCATTACGCTGCCATGATCAGATGCACGTTGATACCAATAGAAAGCCAACGTAAGATCTTTCCGAACACTAATACCTTCGAAATATCTTACGCCTAAAGCGTGTTCAGCATCAGCGACGCCAATATTCGGCATTCCTTTTAGTTTGGGATGTTCTGCGGGCTGTGAC